GTCGCTAACAGTATGAATGGTTGTTGCTTTCCGCTTATCTTGTGCAATCTTTAGCGTAAATCATCGTATATTTTGCACAAAGGAAAATGAACAATTTCCGATTATCGGTTTTTCCTCAAAAATGACCTTGCTGTTCGATCAGCAATTTTCCGCCAAAACTTTTACGCTCGTAAGAACCACGAACACTTCGGGGAAGGGGAGCGGGGTATGCAGAGCATGCATATGCAGAAACACGAATAAATTCTGGCAAAAAAAACCCTGCCTGGGTTTTTATGCGTTTTTTGCAGCTATGAAATGCAGAAAGTGCATATTGACGAGGGACTGTATGTCCGTGTGTCTGTGTGTGCGCCTGTACCGATTTTTCATCTTAAGACCTACAAAAGCTACAGGGCTGAAATTTTGTGAATTTAATCTACATGCAAGTACGTGCTCCACCCCCCAAAATGGGCACCTTTACCTGCGTGGCACCCACATACGAACCCGCCAAAGTTTTTTACAGGTAAGCTGCTAACTCGAGAACCAGAAATGCTGAGAGCCTGAAATCTTAACGAGACGTCCCCCGTCCAATTAAGTATTTATGAGCTCAAACCCAGCTCCCGGATAAACGTGGTACCCGTGTACGAGTCTGCCAAAGTTTTTTTCAGGTAAGTTCATAACTCGGGGATCTGAGATGCTAGAAAGCTGAAATCTTGATGGATGTTCCCAGTCCACGTAATTCTTAATGAGCTTCAAACCAGTCCCGGGTACGCGTGATACCTACGTACGGACCCGTCAAATTTTTTTTCGAGTGAGTTCATAACTCAAGTACCTGAAAAGCTAAAGGACTGTAATTTTAAGAGGATATCCCCCGTACACCTAACTCTCGTTCAACTCAAAATCAGCCCTTGGGTATGGGTGGCACCCAAGCATTGGCTCACCAAAGTTCTTATCGGGTAAGTTGCTAACATGAGAACCTCAAAGCTAGAAGACTGTAATTTTAAGAGGATGTTTCCCGTCTTCGCAATTCTCAACGAACCCAAACCCAGACACTGGGCATGCGTGATATTCATGTACGAGCCCGCGAAAGTTTATTCTCCAGTAATTTGCTAACTCCGGAACCAGGAAGCTACAAAGCTTGAATTTTAAGGGGGATGTTACCTGACAGTTCAGACGGTCAGTCTTAATTTGCTTAGCTAGAAGCAT